TGCTAGTCTGGTTACAACACGCGTGCATCTTGGCTGGCATTGAGTTAGATTTCTAAATTAAAATTATGGACACTTGTAAAGCTCAAATCACTTACTTTTGGAACTTACTTCAAGCGTTTAGTGCCCTCTGGATCGTTATGCGATTCAACACGTAAGAACGGAAATCGAAATTCTTTTGTTTTCGAATGAACCTCGATCATTAATTCACCTTAAGTGCGCAACAGTGGAATGCGATTACCAGAGTAAAAGTCACAAAGCCAAGTTTTGTTTATCACGCGAGAAGCCGCCTGCGAGCTAAACTAGCTCCTATCGGGATACCATTTAATGTAATAAATTAATATTTTACAAGAGAGCTTGTTTTATTTCAGCTCTGCGATCCAGCGATGGACCAAACATTCAGGTCTAAATAATGACAAGAATGACACTTTTAATGTACTAATGACATAGCGGAGAGTGGGAAACCACATCAATTGGAGAAACTTAATATAAATGCAAAATATCTGAGTAACACCTGTTTACAACGCCAGATGACTGACTCTGGCTCTATCATTAACTATGATTTCGCGCTATGGTCAAACAAAAGGTAGATAGAAATACATACATACATTACATACATTACTTTATTTACCCTCGGATTTCAGAGTAGCTTATGCAACTAATATCTCCGAGCATTTAACCATCAGACACCATCATCAAACAACCATCAGGCAGAAATAGCTTGTTGGTTACGGCACAGGAATGCTAAACCAGTACCTTTAAGTATCTTTTTCGCAAATAAATGCTCAGATTCGTTAAATCGTCGGATGGTAATAAGTAGTAAATTAAGAGAAGCACACACTTTTATGTAGTCAAAGTTGACCTACTGATAAATGTGAGCTGACGACACCGAGGTACGTAAATTGTCTATCTCACAGAGAGCTTGAATATGGTACTCTCTTGTATCAAACGAATTAAAAGCATGAAGTAAGTCATAGAATAAGTCGAATAAGAAACTTGGGAACTTGAAATATCCATACCTTGTTGGAGTTGACGGCAGTCACTGGTTCGTACTTGTGTTTTATTGACACCTAAAACTGAAATGTGAGCGTGAGGTGTGGTAAAACCAATTTGGCGGCGTCATAACAATTCTTGAAAGACACATCAACATATTATACTTCACAGCTTTTTTTTTCTTTTCGGCGGATCACGCACAAAAAGCACGCATAAATGAAATTATCTAAGATATTAGTTAG